CATGAAATTTCCCGTTTCTCTTGTAGTATACTTATTAGCGTTAATTTGAATAAAGTTATTAGAAAAATAATTTGGAACTAGTCCAAGTTTGTATTCTATCATAAATAAAATATTTTTGGTATATTTTAATTTGATAGATATTTAGTGCGTTTAAAGATTTAAGAAGGATCGGCATGAGTAAAATTATTTTTATTATAAACCAGTCTTGATGCATGTTTTTGATGCACGTATAGAGAGTTTAATTTAGATTTATGTGTGCTCCCCCATGCAATGTTAGCGTAATTTAAATAACTTTGAATATAAGAAAAGTAGAGAATTTTAAGATTAGATTGTGAGAGCATTGGTTTAGCTTTATAAATAACACCTATGCTTTTTGATATTTTGTTATTTTATTGTACTTATATGAGCCTTCCAGGAAATCTTCTCATCAATAATTTTTCCAAGAAATTTAGTTTTTTTAGTTCTTTTAATGCGTATGTTATCTATTTTTAATGATGGTAGGATTGGTAATATATTATTTTTCTGCTGGTTAGTATGAAACAAGATACATTTGGTTTTTTCTATATTTAAAGATAATTTTTTTGCCTTGAACCAGATGTTGAGATTTTTAAGATCAGCATTGATTCAAAAAGTTTTTTGATGGATGGATGAATGGATATCTGATGGATGACGATGAATAAAATAGGTTTGTGTCATCGGAAAACATAATAACATCAAGTTTTTTAAGGCTTTTGAAAGATCATTGATGTAAATTAGAAAAATTAGGGGACCAAGGGACCTTGAGAAACTCCGCTTTTTATTTCTAAAAGGTTTGAATATTTGTTATTGTCTAAAATTACGCATTGTTGTCTACCACACAGGTAGCTTTTGAACCAATCAAGATTTATATTTTTTATTCTGTATTTTTCCATTTTTTTTAGTAATGTATAATATATTATTGATTGACAGTATCAAACGCTTTTGATAGATCTATAGAGGTTCCTAACACAAATTGGTTTTTATCGAATGAATCACCTATGGCATTTACTAGATCTAGAATTTGCATGTTCGGTCGAGTGTTGTGTCTGGAAACCAAATTGCTTTTTATTTAAGAGTTTGTTTTGAGTTAGATAATTATATAATTTATTGTAGATTATTCGTTCAAGTAGTTTAGAGAAAGTAGGAAGAATGGAGATTGGTCTGTAGTTACTTAAAGATGATATTTCAACGGTTTTAAGAATGGGTGTAATTTTAGCCATTTTTAATTTGTCTGGTACAATTCTTGTTTTAATCGACGACTTGAATATTTTGAAAATAGGCTTGCTTATCTCTGAAAAAACATTAAAAACAATATTACTGCAAATATCGTCTGTACCTGGAGACTT